TAGGGTTTTGAGGGAGGTGGATGTGTGTGAGCCTGGGGTTTAGGGTGTAAGGGGGGTGCTATGGGAGTGGAGCTAGGGTTTGAGCAGGGGGTGTGTGTCGAGAGGTGTGGGGCAGCTGAAGGAGGTTGGTTGAACGGAGGTTGTCGTCGTGTCGTCAGCAGCACCAGTAGTCCGGGGCGCTGCTCCGGTAGCCCAGTCGTAGCCAGCTGTGCCAGTCGCCCATGGGTCCGTTGCTCGTCTGCCGCTAGTCTTAGCCGCGGAGCTAGTTACTCCAGTAGTCCGGAGCGCTGTTCCGGTAGCCGCTGTGCCAGTGTGACTCCTGTTGCCCGTGTGTCTGCAGCTTCAGCCGTCGCCTCCTATCTCCTCTCCTCTTATAGTCTCGCCTCCTCCTCCTCCTCACTTGCCCTTTGTGAATGACTCTAGCTTTGCTCGCTATTGTGAACTCATGCTCTATGCCTGCTTGCTCATTGTGCTGATTACACCCCACTTTGGCTATGGGGGTGTGTCAGAATGTTATTCTCTAGCTTGTAGTGGGGTGCTCTATAGCGAGTACAACCCATCTAGGGTTTGCTATATGTATCCTCATTGCTGCTAGTGAAACCCCCCTCTTCTTCATTCCTCATTTTTTCACATGGTCGACCTGCATGGGGTCACTGCGACGCCGCCGACGATAGGAGCCGGTGGCCGACTTCAATGCGGTGGTCGACAAGGGGACTCGTCGACCTGGGAGGGGCGCCGACTTGGTGGCGCCGACTTTGGAAGGCCGAGTTGGCGAAGTTGGCCTAGGAGGGCGCCGACGTGGGGAATCCGACTTGGTGAAGTCGGCTGGTGGCCGTCGACCTAGGTGGTTGACGAGCACGTACAGCCTTTGGTCGAATTCTGCCGAGCAAGTCGACGCCAACCTGGTGGTTTCCAGGTCGACCAAATAATCAGGGTGATGAGGTTCTGCGGGGTGCGCGACCATCGCCCAGGAGAATCTGGCGAAGCCGACTTCGGAAATGGTGTCGTGAAGTTGACGTGGCTCATTAGGCGCAATCAACGACACGTGGCCGACTTGGCATCTACGCTGTACACTTGACGGTGCACGTCGCACCAACCGACTACGAGCACCTACGAAGTGGGTGTGAAGCTGCCACCTGCGGGTGCAACGCTGGTCAGCCGCCTTGCTGCAGCGATGGCACGCCGTCGACTTGCAGCGTTGGCAAGTCATCTCTATGCAGTCCTGAAGCGGTGCGGACTTTGCAGTGCTGGAACGCGGTCGACCTTGCTTTTGCTGGAAGTCGGCCTACTTGCATGCTAGGCAGACTTGCTTCTGATGTAGTCAGCTTTGCCAATGTTGTTGCTACCGTTGTTGTGAACTTTCTCTGGTGAAACTCTTACTAATTTGCCATATGAATGCGCAAGTAGAGAGAACACACAAGGAATGCTACGGTCACTCGTAGAACCTGTGTCTTCCCCGGTAGTCCAGCTTGCGGTGTAGAGTGACTCTCCGCATAAATCGGCACTACCACGCCGGTGCCACAAGATCTCACGACACCGAAAACGCAGGACGTTGTTGACGAGACGTCAACCGGGAAGAGGAAACTCGTCGGCGTTATTGCGCGGCAGAAATGGCGCCAATTGAAGTAGAGCTTCTCGAGGGATGCAACTCCAACCGTCATCGATGATGACGAAGATGATGACGGTTTGCAGCCGGCGGACGGGCTCACCCAGATCCCGAAAGTTGCATTCCCCAGGTCGCATCGGCAAATTCGTAGTTCCTGGCAAGGGTTGTTTCCATGGCTTGTTCTTTTACGTGCTGACGACGGGATGCCCCTTCTAAAATGCAGCACCTGCATGGAGCATGGAATTGAGGGCGCCAACACAGCGTACAGCAAGGGCGGTGCAGGAGGGCGAGACATGCTGAAGCAGAGCTCAGGACCATCAGCGCTCGACAGCACACAAGGATGCAACCAGTGGATGAAGTTAAAGGAAAGCCGCAAGCTGCAGCATGCATTACTGAGTGAGTTCGAGGGCCTCGATCGGAGCACGCTGCACCTCATCACCACCATGAAGACGATAGTTTCACGTGCAAGTCGGAAGCCCCGATAACATCGTCCGTCGGATTCATTAAGTTCATGTCAGAGCTCAAAGTTCTGAATCTTCCCCTGGATAAAGCAGGAACCTACTATTATGAGTAAGTGAAACCTATTATCGTAAATGTCAAGGCTCTGTATTTCCTAACGTAAGACCAACCCCCTTTCTAACTCTACTTGTTGCATGTGCAGGTACGGGTTCGGCGAGGTGCTGGAGGCCGTGTCGAAGTATCTGCGGCAGGATCAACTCAAGCAAATTGCCGCCAGCCCGTACATCAGTATCCAGCTCAATGAAAGGATGGACCGCGTGTGAGGCAAGAACTTGATCATCTACGTCCCCTTCGTCAAGAGCGACACCGTGGTCTGTGAATTACTTACGCTGCTCATGGTAGAAAATGTGACAAGGACCGTCTTACAGAAGTCATGCTAACCCATCTGGATGTCGTCCGCATTGACATCATGAAGATTGTGGGGATAAGCACAAACGGGGCTAAGGTCATGACGGGCACCAGCGCGGGTGTTGTCACAGGACCGCGCCAAGAATCAGTATCTCGCCTCATGCCACTGCATTGTGTTGAAGTAACTATGTGATCTTATGAGGCATGACTTAGGAGCTTAGGAGAAAGCTGAGGTAGGCTTGAGCGTGGCGAGAGAGATTGGGAGAATGATGTGGATTCACTATAGGAAAACACAAACATATAGGAGAAAGGAGGGGAGGTGCACCACCAAAACAAGAAGCATATAGCTACACTAGGATCTACTGTAGGCAGGAATATAATGTATACAAATACATTTCAACACATCGCTAATCGGCAAGGTTTAATATATGCAATGTTAATATTCTTGACAGTTTTAGATATAAATGAATTTCTTTTATGTTTGTGCAGGGAGGCGTTCGGCGCAAAAGATGTCGCGCTCAAAGTTCCAGATTTTAACATCGTCGATCAAGAAGTCTGAGGCGTAGTGGAGCAGTTGTTACGAAGCAGCGTGTGGCACCAGCGATTCCGGCACCCGCATGAGATCATATGTGACACCAACCTCGAGCTTCAAAGGATTCACTCTGTGAGGTGGCTATCACGTGGACAAGCAGTAAAAAGATTTGCCAAGGTTTTGCCGGTGACCATGGTGCTGCTACACGAGTACAAGCACGAGTTGTACAAAGTCGTCACTTCCTTTAAGTTTCACTTTCTTCTGTACTTCGTGGCGGACATTCTCGCCATCCCGAACGATCTGAACACGAAGTTTAGTGAGTTGCACACCCCGCTAGTTTTGCTTTATCCATCAATTATGTTTTTTTACATTTTCTTGTGTTTTTTACCCTGGGCATGTGGATATCACTGTGGTTGCGGGTGAAGTTTCTCTGGCCTGTGTATCCCAGGTACAACAGGCAGAGGATGAGGAAGTGCCTTGAATGGCTAGGACAACTAAAAAAAAAAACACCGCTTTTGTCTCCATAGTACGTGCGTTTGTTTCTGTTTCACGACATGTTTTGTTTAACCCACCAACACGCTCCCCCCACGTACCCACGTTCGCGACATGCTTTACTTAACGTTGTTTTTTTTTTTTTTTTTTTTTTTTTTGCGCTTGGCGGCATGTTTTATTAACCCATTAATACCCTTTCCCCATGTACCCACGTTTTCGTCGGCTGTTTGCTTCAAATCATGCGAGAGGGAGCTCCCTCTGTTTCCGCACACGATGGACCTCAACCACGCAAACCTCGGCTTCTTCAAGTCGCTCACCTTCATTCTCCGCACCAGCGACTATGCTGGTGCCTATCCGAACCTGGTACAGCTGTGGCAAGCTGGAGCCGTGCTCCCTCTCAGCAACGTGGAGCGCGAGCGCAGATTCAGTTGCCAGAATTGCATCAAGACATGGAGCAGGACAAGCCTTGGCGATGCACGACTAGGCGATCTCATGACAGATGCTCTTCTTCCAACCGACGATGTGAACCGGGCTGATGTGGTAACCTTGTTCCTTTAGCATGTGCTAGATATCTAGAAAGTAGATTGTTGTGATGGATTAGTGCTTTAATTAGTCAAATCTCACAACAACAAACTTAAAAAGGGGTAACTTAGCTTTTCACACTGATGAGGAAAAGTAGTTTTAGGAATGACACTGATAAAAAGAGTGACTTTTTTTCTACCCTTATAGAAAGAACTTCATGCTAAGTACCCTTACAAGAACAGGCAAGCTAAATCCTATCCAGAGTCCTGGTTGGGGGTGGTGTGGTGGGATGAAGGCAGCAATCGCAAGTCGACAAGGGGAGCAGCATGGGATGGGTTCAAAGCCGGTGCAGCACCATCATGTGAAGGGCAAGGCAAAGGTGAAGGCAGCCTTACTTGCATCATGAGCTAAATGGATATTGCGAGGCCGAATGGGTTGTTGCATGGATTAGCATCTGCGCTTCAGCGAATGCACACATGGGTGGGGAGAAGTGATGCAACTGGACATGTGCACTGGCTTGGCTTGTGTACGAACTGGCAAATGCTACAGGTATAGGCATGTGGTGCAGCCAGCATACCTTCAAGGTGGAATATCGGTTTCTGTACCAGATGCAACCGGTGTTCCTGCGCATGCATACACAGCTAAAAACACGCATGTGCCAAATTCAATTCAACTCACCGAACTTCCATACGTCTCATGCATGAATGCATTAGCAACAGTGCTGGAACTCATGCTTGCAATCCCTCTAAGCCTAATGTTTGTCAAACGGCAGTCTGCGGTAAGAGGCTATTGCAATAAACCGCTGATGACATTTCAGAGGAGTTCCTTTCAGGCAGTACAAGCCTCCAAACTTGCCACCCTTCCCACCCAACCACTATCCTTCCACCCCTTAAGCCATCAACCGTATCCCCTCAATAACCATACACACAAGGCAGTAAGCTTGCCTTGAGCAAATAATGACACTATAGTAAGGGCACACTCCTAGAAACCTAAGAATCTTCCACCCATCATCCACCACGTTTTGCCATCCCTATCCCAATCCCCATTCCCATCACCATCACCATCACCATGCCCATTTCCATCCTGATCCCTATCACCATCCCCATCCCCATCCCCGTCCCCTTCACCATCACCATCCCCATCACCATCACCATTCCCGTCCCCATCACTATCCCCATCCCCATCCCCATCCCCATCCCCATCTCCATCCCCATCACCATCAGCATCAGCATCAGCATCAGCATCACTATCACTATCACCCTCACCATCACCATCACCCTCACCCTCACCATCCCCATCACCATCACCATCACCCTCACCATCACCATCACCAGCCCCATCCCCATCCCCATCCCCATTCCCATCCCCATCCCCATCCCCATCCCCATCCCCATCACCATCCCCATCTCCATCACCATGACCATCATCATCACCATCACCAGTTTCTCTTCCAGGGTCTCACTATCAACGACGATATGCAGAAGCACCCAAATTGTTCCCCCTCTCCCATATCAGATATTTCCCATCACCTTTCTTCTGTTCATCCTCGTGCACCAACCCTGCAGCGACAAGCAGTTCCTATTACAGGGACTCACACTGAACACCTACGGTACATGCAGAGGCACCGGATGGTGTGTACGGAACAGGTACGGTTGTGCCAGGAGGAACAAACCAGCCCGCTTCATATGTTGTGCCCTGGGCTCCTGCTGCTCAGAGTGCCAGCCCCCAGCAACAGCAGAATAACCAGCAGCAGCAGCAGCAGAGTCCAGGGGGGGCTGCCTTGAGTCCGCAGCAGCAGGCGATGCTCTTTGGTGGTAACCCGCCCCCTATGAACCTGTCATAGCAGGGAGGAGGAGCGCCCTCGGGTGGAGGGATGGTTATGGGCTCGAGCACGTATGGGCCGAACCCCACTTACCCCTAACATCAACAGCAGCAGCAGCAGCAGCAGCAGCAGCAGCAGAGGAGGCCCGGGGAAGTCGTGACAGGCCCTGATTATGTGGATGGGCAGGTGTTTAGAGGCACAGGGTGAATCTTCTGGAACTTTTAGATAGTAATTTGTTGGTTATAGACCCTAGGGTCTTATATGCTGACCCAGAACAAATGGGTTTGTCTATTTGAGTGGTAGTGCTGTACATCTGGTGTTGTGTTCAAGTACTTGGTGGTTCAAATCCATCACACACTTTACTGGTGCGTGAAACAAAAGAAAAAAAACACACACCCTGTCCAATTTTGAGGCAGATAAATGTCCTTACAGATGCTGCAATATCAGACAAGACCTACCCCTATAGCTTTTCAGTGAGCCTTCCACTTGCACAAAAACCAACCCGCGGACCGTGCACCAACCTCCGCATCAACCAAACGCATTAATGAGGAACTCCTTGTAGATCGCCATGACCTTGGCAGCAAAGGCTGCATGGGTGGGAGGGGAGGGACAGGGAGGAGACAGGGAACGCGTGGGTGTGTGAAGAGTAGAAGTACCTACCGTGGAGAAGGAATGAAACAGCAAGGTTGGGGGTGGTGTGGCGGGATGACGGCAGCGTTCGCAGGTCAACAAAGGAAGCAGCAGCAAGTGAGGGGTACAAAGCGGGTGCAGCACCATGCACGTGGGTGGGGAGAAGTGATGCAACTTCTCATGTGCGCCAGGATTGACACATGCTGCAGGTACAGGCATGTGGTGCAGCCAACATACCTTCAAGGTGGAAAATTGACTTCTGTCCCAGATGCAACCGGTGCTCCTGCTCATGCACACAGTCAGAAACACAGAGGTGTACAGCTTTACTTAAATGTACTGTTTTGCCATATGCCTCATGGATGCATGCATTAGAAGCAGTGCTAAACCTCATGCTTGCAAGTTGCAACCCCTTTTGGCCTAGAAACCTCCACCATCCACCACACATCACCATCACCATGACCATCACCATCACCATCATGAACACACGTGCAAGGCGGCCCAGTGACCCAGCTCGAGCTAGGAGTGAAAATTCACACCAAATTGTCATGCTTGAGCATTTGAGTGGATATTACCCCATCTATCTATACTGCCCCCCATTCCACACATACAAGGCAGCCCAACGGAAAGCGTTATGCTATTTGGGAGTCACTTTTCAGAATTCTTAAAAGTGCTTCAGCTTTGAGTGGAGTTCACACTTTCGAAGTTCCAATCCTCACCCACCACCCTCCCTCCCAACCCCCTCCCTCCTACAACAGCTCTTCCCCACGCCCATACAGCACGCACATAGAAGGCAGCCCAGTGGCACACGTCATGCTTCAGCTCCGCATCCATCTTGCGCATCAACTCCACTGTCAGGCGCTGGGGGAGGCGACGGGGGGGGGGGGGGTGGGGGGGGGGGGGGGGGGGGGGGGGGGGGGGTTGTAAGGGGGTATTGAAGTTTGACCATCCATCTTGCGCATCAACTCCACTGTCAGGCGTTGGTGGGGGGGGGGGGGGAGGGGGGGGGGGGGGAAGTGGGGAAGAGGGAGGAGGGTGCGGTGGTGAGAGAGAAAGAGGGGGTTGGTGAGGCCATGAGCGTCCATCTTGCGCATCTAAGGCGCTGGAGGTGGGAGGAGTGGTGGGAATGGGGAATAGAGAAAGATGGGGGTTTCAAGTTCTAAACGTCCATCTTGCGCATCAACTACACCGTCAGGCGCTGGATTAGGAAAGGGGGGGGGAGAGAGGAAGGGGGAAGTTATGTGCGAGAGGGGGAGCTTGTGAGCGTCCATCTTGCACATCTGCTCAACCGTCAGGCGCTGGGGGGTGGGTGTGTGAGGAGGGGGAAAGGAGGAAGGCGGGAGGAAGAAGAGGTGGAAGTTATGTGAGAGAAGGGGAGGTTGTAAGCGCCATCTAGCGCACAGCTCCACCGTCAGACGCTGGGGTTGAGTGGAGAGCGGCTGGTGGTTTATGGCCTTGGAGTCGACTCAAAAGTCACCTCAGGCACATGGAGCCTACAAACTAGGGCCTAGGCACTTGATCACATGGGTGTAAAGGCTTACCTTGAGGATGAGGTGCGGCGGGATGCAGTTGATTAGAAGGTCGTAGAACTTGGCGCGTATTTGAAACAGGCTGGCATGCGAGTGGTTGGGGAGGGAGGGAAGAGCCGGAGAGGGTAAACCGTCTGAAGAGAGGGTGTCGAGGAGGGAGAGCAGGAAAGAGGCGCGGATATGGCATGAGGTGGAGGTGGATGAAGATGGAAAAGCACGAGGAGGCAGTAGCAGAAAGGGAGAGTTATGAGCTTCTTGGCTCCTCAACTCCTTGCTTCTTCAAGCTTTCACCTTCTACAAGACGTGATAGGCATTCCGCCATTCCCTGCCGCCTCACAACATGTTGATCCGACTCAATCCCTCTCCACCCTCCCACCAACCTCCCACCTCTGCCTCACCGGCGGGGGCTCTGTTCGCTGATGATGTCAGCAGCGATCTCAGCTACACAGAGCTCCCAGTCGTTCTGCTGCACCGGTTGATTGTCACTGAATGGGTAGCTGCGCACATGTCGTGTGGGAGTGGAGGGAAGCATGGCAAGTTACGTAGCAGAGGTGGCACTATGGAACAGGGTCGGTGGGAGGGGATGAGAGGGCGGCCTTCCGCTGCACCGGCTGGCTGTCACTGAAGGGTAGTGGCGGCAGGCAGTGTGGGACGGGTGGGAAAGAGGTGCGAGGGCAGGACGACCACGGGCACTGAGGAATGGGGTGGTAGTACGAGGAGGGTAAGAGGGCATGCGTGGGTAAGAGGGCATGCGTGGGTAAGCAGTTGTAGGAGCCTCAGGTCTCGAGGGAGACAGCAGGTTAGTGGATGTTGTCCGATGATGTGATGGGGGTGGAAGGATGGGGTATCGTGGAGGAGGAGATGGGGGGTGGTAAGTGAGAGGTGCGAGGATGAGCATGGTGGAGGATGGTTGTGTGGACATGGTCGTGCACGGTTCGATGGTGTATCAGCAACCAACTACATTAACAAAGAGCCCAGAGGACTCACTGGGCAGCTTCTAGGGAGAGCAGCGCCTTGCGCAGGTTGCAGCAAAAGAGAAAAGGCAGGTGATAAGAAGAGCGCAGCAGCGGAACATTGCCAGAAGATGGGGTGGATACCCTTTTTTCTGAGAGCAGGCAGGCACTCACTGGGCGGCTTTATCAGCTTCAAGGGAGAGCAGCGCCTTGCACGGGTTACAACAAACGGAAGAGAATAGATAATAGAAAAGGAGCAGTACGAGGTTCTAACTGTGGGTGGGCTAGCAGGCAGGCAGGGGACTCACTGGGCAGCCTTAGCAGCCTGGAGGGAGAGCAGCGCCTTGCGCAGGTTGCGGTTGCTGCTCACCGCCATCCGCCCTGCCAGCATCGGTGGTAAGGTCACTCCCTCCTTGCCTGCCACCTCGTGTAGCACGTCCACTATCTGCCGAGAAACGGGGGGGAAGCGGGAAGGGGAAGGGGGGAGGGGAGGGGGAGGGGACCGGGGTGTGGTTGGAGTGAACTGACAGCATCCCTGGCAGCACCGATCATAGACTGATGCCCTTAAGAGACGTCTCAAAAAACACAGCATCCCTGGCAGCACCGATCATAGACTGATGCCCTTTTTCCCTGCCACCTCCTGTAGCACATCCACTCATGGGGGGGTTGGTTGGGGAGCGGAGAGGGGGGGGGGAGGGGGTGGGCTGCGAGGGAGGGAGGGGAGGGGGATGGGGCAGGGGTGTGTTGTGAGTTGACTGACAACATCCCTGGCAGCATTGGTGGTGGAGTCACGTCTCGCCTTACTTGCCTTGCCTGGCCGGCTCCTCCTGTAGCCCGTCCACTAACTGCCAAGGACGGCAGGGGGGGGGCAACAGAGCGAGCAGGGAGGAGACCAGGACTTGTGGGGGGGTGAGGGAACAGAGAGGAACTGGGGTGACTTGGGTAAGTGTGAGGGTGTATGAGTGCGTGTGGGTGCACAGCACACGGGTACAGCAGGCACACCTGATCGTGGGATGGAGCAGCAATGCGGAGGTTGAGGCATCGCGATCGAAGAGCCTCCGTGACCTGTGGGGTGCATCGCACGAGGCAGCAAGACAGCAAAGCAGCACAGCAGCACGGGGAAGCACGGCAGTGAGGCAGCGAGGTGGCACAGAATGCCATTTGAGTGGACACCAGACAAGGCGTTGTTCTAATACTCAGCAGCTGTAAATTGTCTCACTGCCCACGTCACCTGCGAGGCGGAGGAGCAGCACATGACGATGCGGCAGGCAGCGGTGTAGCGCTCCATGGTGCGCCGTAGCGCATGCTGTGCCTCCCTGCTCAGATGGTCCACCTCGTTCAGCACCAGCACTGCTTGCGGGGAGAGGGGATGGGGTTGGGAGGAGGTGAGACGAAGAGGGAAGAAGTGAGAGCGGCAAGAGTGAGGAAAGTAGGCTGTGCCTCCCTGCTCAGATGGTCCACCTCGTTCCGCACCAGCACTGCTTGGAGGAAGGGTTGTGGTTGTGGAGGTGGGAGAGGAAGGAGGAAGTGTGGATAAAGCAGTGGAGGGAAGAGAGAGCATGCTGTGCCTCCGTACTGAGATGGTCCAGCATAAGCACTGCTTGTGGGGGTGGTGGCAGGGCAGGGTTGAGAGAAGAAAAGGGAAGAAGGAAGTGTGGTGGAGAGGAAGAGTGGGAATAGAGAGAATGAGAAGAGAGAGGTTGGAAGGCAGTAAAAGGCACCAAACTTGACCCTCAAGAAGCAACTGACCACCACCTGAGTACCAACTGACCATGACTTGCCTTGGATTGCAGCAACATTCTCCTCAATGACCCACATAATAACAGCACTCAATGCCAAAACTGCCACACCATCGTCCATCACTGACCCAGAGCCGCGCACCCCCCACTGCGTCACCCACAGCCAAACCAGCCCCGCACCCACCCTTGAAGCTGCGTCGGCCCTTGCTGTCAAAGGGTCTATGGCATGCCATGCCCTTGACCTCCTGCCCCAATGGCAACCAGAACCACAACCGCCAACAACGAGCCACACCCACTGTCACCACCACCCACACACCCTCCTTGAAGCTGCGGCTGCCCTTGCTGTCAATGGTTCTAGTGCGCACCATGTCTTTAATGATCTCCGATACCCCGTAACGGTCCAGGAAGCCTATTGAGTGGACTCAAAACAGAAGCCAGCGACCCCCGCACCGCACGCACCCTTGAAGCTGTGGTTGCTCTCGGAGTCAATGGGTCTCTTGCGCACCATGTCTTTGATGATCTCCTGCACCAATACCAACCATAGCCACAACCCCCACCATCCCTACCCCAGAGCCACCACCACTGGCACCTTTGAAGCTTCTGTTGCCCTTGCTGTCAATGGGTCTGTTCCGCGCCATGTCTTTGATGATCTCCTGCACCACGTATCGGTCCTGGAAGCCCGCATCGGAGGGACTGAGCTCCACGTGGTGGTTGCTTGCCACTGTGGTTAACTCCACCTCCAGCTTCCGCATGCCTGCCTGCCACCACCACCACCACCACCACCACCACCACCACCACCACCACCACCACCACCACCACCACCACCACCACCACCACCACCACCACCACCACCACCACCACCACCACCACCACCACCACCACCACCACCACCACCAGGCAAGGCAGTAGACGAATGCAAGTAAAGAGAGTGCGAGTATGATGTGAGCACGAGCTTCATGTGACTGGCGTAGTGCACATGCATTGCTCCACGTGGTGGTTGCTCGCCACTGTCATCAGCCCCACCTCCAGCTTTAACGTGCCCGCCTGCCAGGCAGGGCGATAGATGTTCATGAATCACTACAGGTTCGACTGCTAGGTTTTCATTCATTGTCTGGCAGACAAGAGATGTAACTCGCTTTGGGGGAGACATGCAGAAGTGGGCTCGTTGGGAAAGGGGCGTGTATCACGAGCTCACACGAGGGAAGCTGCATGGCTGGGCAGTGGAGTGGTGCGTACCTCAATCTTCCAAGGCTTGTTCTCTACTTTCACCTACACACACACACACACACACACACACACACATACACATACACACACGCACGCACGCACGCATTCACGCACGCACTCACGCGCACGCGCACACACACGCACGCACGCATGCACGCACTCACGCGCGCGCGCGCGCGCACACACACACACACACGCACGCACGCACTCACGCGCACGCACACACACACACATACACTCAATCACACACAGCACATGCATGAGCACAAATGCAACCACATATCAAAACATACGGGCACAAATAAGTGACGAGGCGCTGAGGTCTGCCACGCAGCACAGATACCACCGGCGGAACTTCATAGTGTCCCTCTCTCTCGTATAAAACAGACTGCCATCTCCACTACCCCCTTTCCCCCCCAACACGTCAAGCCTACATCTGACAGATCCTGTCAAGCCTAAATTTGACGGATCCTGTCAAGCCTACATCTGACAGATCCTGTCAAGCCTACATCTGACAGATTCTGTCAAGCCTACATCTGACAGATCCTGTCAAGCCTACATTTGACGGATCCTGTCAAGCCTACATCTGACAGATCCTGTCTAGCCTACATCTTACAGATCCTGTCAAACCGACATCTGACAGATCCTGTCAAGCCTACATTTGACGGACACTGTCAAGCCTACATCTGACAGATCCTGTCAAGCCTACATCTGACAGATTCTGTAAAGCCTACATCTGACTGATCCTGTCAAGCCTACATTTGACGGATCCTGTCAAGCCTACATCTGACAGATCCTGTCTAACCTACATCTGACAGATCCTGTCAAGCCTACATTTGACGGATCCTGTCAAGCCTACATCTGACAGATCCTGTCAAGCCTACATCTGACAGATCCTGTCAAGCCTACATCTGACAGATTCTGTAAAGCCTACATCTGACTGATCCTGTCAAGCCTACATTTGACGGATCCTGTCAAGCCTACATCTGACAGATCCTGTCTAGCCTACATCTGACAGATCCTGTCAAGCCTACATTTGACGGATCCTGTCAAGCCTACATCTGACAGATCCTGTCAAGCCTACATCTGACGGATCCTGTCAAGCCTACATCTGACGGATCCTGTCAAGCCTACATCTGACAGATCCTGTCTAGCCTACATCTGACAGATCCTGTCAAGCCTACATCTGACGGATCCTGTCAAGCCTACATTTGACGGATCCTGTCAAGCCTACATCTGACAGATCCTGTCTAGCCTACATCTGACAGATCCTGTCAAGCCTACATTTGACGGATCCTGTCAAGCCTACATCTGACGGATCCTGTCAAGCCTACATCTGACAGATCCTGTCTAGCCTACATCTTACAGATCCTGTCAAACCTACATCTGACAGATCCTGTCAAGCCTACATTTGACGGATCCTGTCAAGCCTACATCTGACAGATCCTGTCAAGCCTACATCTGACAGATTCTGTAAAGCCTACATCTGACAGATCCTGTCAAGCCTACATCTGACAGATCCTGTCAAGCCTACATTTGACGGATCCTGCCAAGCCTACATCTGACAGATCCTGTCAAACCTACATCTGACAGATCCTGTCAAGCCTACATTTGACGGATCCTGTCAAGCCTACATCTGACAGATCCTGTCTAACCTACATCTGACAGATCCTGTCAAGCCTACATTTGACGGATCCTGCCAAGCCTACATCTGACGGATCCTGTCAAGCCTACATCTGACAGATCCTGTCTAGCCTACATCTGACAGATCCTGTCAAGCGTACATCTGACGGATCCTGTCAAGCCTACATTTGACGGATCCTGTCAAGCCTACATCTGACAGATCCTGTCTAGCCTACATCTGACAGGTCCTGTCAAGCCTACATTTGACGGATCCTGTCAAGCCTACATCTGACAGATCCTGTCAAACCTACATCTGACAGATCCTGTCAAGCCTACATTTGACGGATCCTGCCAAGCCTACATCTGACGGATCCTGTCAAGCCTACATCTGACGGATCCTGTCAAGCCTACATCTGACAGATCCTGTCTAGCCTACATCTGACAGATCCTGTCAAGCCTACATCTGACGGATCCTGTCAAGCCTACATTTGACGGATCCTGTCAAGCCTACATCTGACAGATCCTGTCTAGCCTACATCTGACAGATCCTGTCAAGCCTACATTTGACGGATCCTGTCAAGCCTACATCTGACAGATCCTGTCAAGCCTACATCTGACAGATCCTGTCAAGCCTACATCTGACAGATCCTGTCAAGCCTACATCTGACGGATCCTGTCAAGCCTACATCTGACGGATCCTGTCAAGCCTACATCTGACAGATCCTGTCTAGCCTACATCTGACAGATCCTGTCAAGCCTACATCTGACGGATCCTGTCAAGCCTACATTTGACGGATCCTGTCAAGCCTACATCTGACAGATCCTGTCTAGCCTACATCTGACAGATCCTGTCAAGCCTACATTTGACGGATCCTGTCAAGCCTACATTTGACGGATCCTGTCAAGCCTACATCTGACAGATCCTGTCGAGCCTACATCTGACAGATCCTGTCAAGCCTACATTTGACGGATCCTGTCAAGCCTACATCTGACGGATCCTGTCAAGCCTACATCTGACAGATCCTGTCTAGCCTACATCTGACAGATCCTGTCAAGCCTACATCTGACGGATCCTGTCAAGCCTACATTTGAAGGATCCTGTCAAGCCTACATCTGACAGATTCCTGTCTAGCCTACATCTGACAGATCCTGTCAAGCCTACATTTGACGGATCCTGTCAAGCCTACATCTGACAGATCCTGTCAAGCCTACATCTGACAGATCCTGTCAAGCCTACATCTGACAGATCCTGTCAAGCCTACATCTGACGGATCCTGTCAAGCCTACATCTGACGGATCCTGTCAAGCCTACATCTGACAGATCCTGTCTAGCCTACATCTGACAGATCTTGTCAAGCCTACATCTGACGGATCCTGTCAAGCCTACATTTGACGGATCCTGTCAAGCCTACATCTGACAGATCCTGTCTAGCCTACATCTGACAGATCCTGTCAAGCCTACATTTGACGGATCCTGTCAAGCCTACATTTGACGGATCCTGTCAAGCCTACATCTGACAGATTGTGTCGAGCCTAACCTACGCATACGGCTTGACGGTTCCTGTCTGTCACATACACTAAAGCAACGGACAGTTGCTCACCGTTCATTCTGGGGGATGATGTGTTCCCATCAACCCTTCGTAACGTGGGTAACTCTCCCTCCTTCCCCTCGCTCTCCCGCTCTCCCAACCTTTCCCCACATCTTTTCCAACCTACCCAGCCCCCTCCTTTCCCCCCCCCACCTCCCCCGCCCCACCCCACCTTATCAGCCCCGGGAACCAGAACATCTCGCGCAGCAGTCGAGCACGAGAGTCTTCTTGCCCGCTCCTGACGGGCCGAAGAACAGCAGGTGCGGACAGTCGCCCGCTTGCACCTGCACGGAGGGGAGGGGGGGGGGGGGGAGATGCCTGAGACGAGATATGTACTACTGTTGCTCGATGAGCCTGGGAGGGGAAGGAGAGGGGGGGAAGGGGGAGGGGATCGGGGGGGGAGCGGAGGGGAGGGGATGGGAGGGGAGGGGAATGGGAGGGGAGGGGAGGGGAGGGTAGGGGAGGGGGATGGGGAGGGGAGGGGATGGGGATGGGAGGGGAGGGGAGGGTTAGGGGAGGGGATGGGAGGGGAGGGGATGGGAGGGGAGGGGAGGGGAGTAGGGAAGCCGTATCCTCGTGACTTTCCCTGCAGGGAAGGGGGATTGAGGAGTGGGGGAGGGTTGTAAAGGGGGGGAAGGCGGAGAGGAAAAGGGGCCAGAGGGGAGTGGGGTGGGATACAAAACAATGTCTGAGGCGCCTAAAAAGAGGTATTGTGGACCGATGATCCGGGAAGGGAGAGGCATGCAAGGCCTGCACGACCGGGGAGGTCGAACAGAATAGCAGCAGAGGGAAGCATATGCGACTTGGTGTGTGCCTTAAGAGCGGGAGGAGGGGTGGAAGGAGGCGAAAGGGGAAAGCAGGTGGGACAAGGAGTCCGAATCGGTGCTTGCAACGTGAGAATGCGCGGGAGAGAAACATTTCCAGTATGCGGGGAAGGGTGCTGCAAAGGCACCGGCAATACGCGTTGCTGTGCGCTACCCACCAGCTGCTTCAGACTGCAAAGCGTGTCGCGGTGAACAGTGAGTTTTGTCCAGCGTGGCTGGTCAGGTGCTCTTGTCCACCCATAGCATTCTGACACGTTCGCCACCGGGACCAACGGAGAATGGCGAACTGATCAAGTGCTCCCTGATCGCGACGAGATTTATGGAACTAACGCCAGACTGGAGGAAAACACGCTGTTTGTAGAACCGAAGCCCTGCTTCGTAGTTTTTTGTGCAGTACAATTTCACGAGCGCCGCATGCAGAGGTAACGCAACTGGGGCTAGCAGGTGAGAATGCGCACGGACTAAGTGGTAGGCTGATAGACCTGCCGATAGTTAGTGCTTGGAACAGTTATTACTAGGACTGTTTTTCATTTTTTCAGAGTTGTGTTTCCTGTTGAAGTCTCTCCTCGCTCCTTACACTCGCGTACCGTTTTTGTGAGGCTTTGGTTTGGCAAAAGGGTACTAGCTTCGCGAATTTCGATTTGCCGTTCGCCAGCAATTGCCGAAAGAAAGTCAAGATTCGTGACAAATCAGAGCAGCGGAAATTCGTGATGCAGTTCGAACTTCGGCGTTTCAATTCGGCTGTTTCGTGATACAGTCGTCATGCACCTCGATTCAACCCGCAACCAGCTCGAGCTAGGTCCGCTAAGGGCGTGTAACATCACAGCGAACAGCTTAAAAACCGTGGTTTCTGTGAGGATTATATTTCGCTTCTCGCAATCGCAATTCGAGCAAATCGACCAGCCTTCCGCACCTTCCCAGTATGCCACTGTGTACACCAACTTTGTCGACTATCTCGTCACACAGGTGCGTAACGAACGTGCACGAGAAGGGTCGCGATACAATGCCGATTGAAACCGTGAAAACCGTGCAACACAGAATTTGTGACGCGCATTGGCCTGCGCGAACTCACGCGAGTTGTCGCGTGCCGACGAATATCCTTCGTCCAAATTGATTCCACCAATCCGACTCAATTCGTGTGTCGTTACACCTGATTGTCGCACTCTACTCCGTTTCGTTGATGCACTGTCAGATTGCTCCAAATCAGCCACGTCTTGGTCTGGTCGCCCAAAGGGGTGGTTAGGAGGTTGTAAATCCGTCGCCCCTCGTGAACACTTGCGAAGCTTATGGTCGACCAAACAGTCGACCCAGGGCATGGTTCGATGCGATGTTACACGCCCTAACATTTGTAATGCTACATATGTTTCGCCTTTCCGTCTCAATCACATTCAATAGCTACCACGAGTCCTTTCGTCTCAATTTCATACAACAGTTATGACGAAAGCAGGTGTCCGTTGGCGCTGACGGAGCGAACCATTACCCAGTGGCCTCAAGCAGATCTCCGCGACGGCGAGCTTCCCCATTCGGCCGAACCGCCATGAGAACACCCATGAGAACCCCTTTTCTCGTAAACAAACCCGCTTCTTATTCATCCGAAAACGTGTGTGTTGTCGCATAACCAACAATAAGACTCTAGGTTTTTTACTACGCTCGTGTGCTTCAACGGCGGCGAATCGATTCTTTAAACCGTCTAGAGACTATCCTGTAGCCGATTTGAATCAGGTGGCGAGAGTCCGTTGTCAGCCGATTCGTCACGATGGCTCGCGTCGACGTGTCTCCAGGGTTGTGGAGAGATTTGATAAGCGAAATCGACGTACCGATGGATGCAGGGCGCCGCGAGGGCACGATGGTAGCAGCGATGGCGATTGTCAGCGAAGACAGGGCGGAACCGCGGAGAGGAGAGGAGGAGAACTTTCACCCCGTGACTCCCACGCAGCAGGCAGGGCGATTGGGGCAGGGAGGTCAAGGGCGTAGCGTGGGGTGAGGCAGGAATCGTGGGAGGCACGAGAACGAGGGGTGGCGCGGGGAAGGGGCAGAAGCGTCGCATGTGCTTTCAGAAAAGGGGTGTGACGACGAAGAATCAGGGAAACGGCACAACTGAGGGGAGGGGAGGGCGAACGAAGCGGGGGGCGTGTGAAGGAAAAGGAGGTGGGGTGGGACGGTAGCGGCACAGTCTAACGGGCAGTCGGACGATGGGAGGAGTGGTACGAAGAGGAGAGCCTCCATGTGGGTTGAGGAATGACATAAAAAAGGTGTACAGGAGGAGAGGTGCTGGTGGGAGATTTGCAGAAGTTTGTTACGATGGTCGGAGGAGACGCTCTATCCCAATGCAGGTGGGTGAAAGGCATGGCCAGCACTCTTGAACAAGGGCTTAGCTAGGCCCAGCTCTCTTCAAGCCGGCCCTGTGCTCTTTTGGGCCAAGTTGGGGCTGGGTCTTGACTTGTCAGTGAGGAACCAGCCGGGTTGGGTCGTGAAAGCCAAGTGGGTCGTCGAGCCTCCGGCCTATTGACCTCCCCGGGTTATGCTGGGTAGATCCAGGCCGGGATTGAATTGAGGCTTGTTATAAAGGGGCTATATCCATTCTTGTGCTTTGTTCGGTTGCCAGTGAAATGCGGAGAGCTCCAGGTGGCACCTCGTGCTCTTCATCAGTGTAGAGACTACCGATTTGCAGACCGAGAGCGTGACTTGCGGAAAGGTGTGTGCTGGGGTGGGGGGTGTGTGTGGAGTGGGTGTGTGACGGCAGCGCACATGAATGTGTGCCTTTTCTTCTGTTTGTAAGACGAACACCATTCATGTGCGCTTGCCGTTCACTCACTTACTCCACACACACCCCCAGCACACACCTTTCTGGGGGTCACTTCTCGGTCTGCACGTCGATGGTGCGACACTGATAGAGAGCACGAGGTGCGACCTTGAGCTCTCCGCACTTCACTGGCACCGTGAAACGGTTACATTCGCCTAGCTAGGCCCCTAGGTATGTCGTAGCTAGCCATGTTGTTTCTCGTTGCAACTTGGTCTTCCCTCCGCCCTCCCATCCCTGCACCTTCGTGACTCAGGCCAACACGCCGATATATCTTCCTGCAGTGAGGCCAGCGCATGATGCAACAGCAATAGGGGTCCCAACTTTTACAGGTGCGAAGTGTCGTGCACATCAACAGGCCCACACAGTCGAGAAGGAAGAGGGTGAGGACGGCCAGTGGAGGAGAACGAGAAGGACACAGCAGACACACAAAAGTGGTGGAGAGAAAAGGGGTGGGGATGCAGAGAGGAGGGGAGGGGGAGCTGAGAGCGGCAGAGGAAATGGCCGATATGGCGGACACATGGTTTGAGGAGATGAGGGAGATGAATGGACATGATGAGGTGGTCCTCCATTGATGCAGGTCTGTGATTCTTCAGGTCAGTGATTCTTTAGGTCAGTGGATTCTTTCTTTTCGAATGCCAATCACGCTAGGTGAGCAAAGATCACGTCTCTTCATGCATGCCCATTGCACGGCACAGCCATCTTGCTAGCAACGCAGCATTCTTCTCTCCCTTTCCAAAGATTTATATCCCCCTCCGTCTCTACTTATCGACATCCCCTCACCACAACCTTTCATGGATCCCTCCATTCCTCTCTCCCGTCCCCCCCTAGTTTCTACTCGCCCTCTCTCGGATCATGGTTTTTGGTCGATGAACATAGCAGTCTCAAGCCTACCTTTTGATGCATCTAGTCTTAAGAATTCAGCAGCATCCTGCCCGGTTTCATTCTCCTTTCCCCTACTTAGCTTCCTTCCTCATCATTGCCTCCAGGCGCATATAAACTCACCCCTATCTCCTCTATCACCACCATCCTTCCCTGCATCTGTCCAGCTCATCGTAAGGCATACTACAATCAGCACCCGGTGCCATAGATGGAGAGGGTGTGAAGACAGCATGGAGATGAGAGAGAGGAGGGAGAGGAGAGAGAGGAGGGAGAGGAGACAGGAGAGGAGGGGCAGGAGTGACAGGAGGGCGAAGGGGAAGGAGGGGAGAACCGAGTAGAGAGAGCGATGGGGGACAACGAGACATGGGAAAAAGGACGATCCGGCTTGATCTGACAGTGCGTGTTTTTGGCAAAAGTAGTGCGCAAGGTGGCGAATAACTTGGGACATGAGTTCGGAAAAGTTTATAGATGTCAAACAACTTGGTGAAACATTTGCCTTCAGGCGTGTTCCTACGGCCCCTTATCAGGCCAACCTCTGATCAGGCTCGCGTCACATCACACTGAAATTCATGTAAATTCACCTCCACGCATTGTATCAAGAAGGTGTGAAGAGAGGATTGTGCGATAAGAGCCTTAGTTTCATGCTTACCGTATTGCTTAGATGAGCTTGCCGTAAATCACACCTGAGTCTTCCATCTTGAGGATAACCAGCTCAATAACTTTCAACTTGACGACCAAAACTTGCTTCGCAATGCATTACTCGCAGAATGTCTGCATCCGGAGTGCTGGTGTAATCAGACAGTTGTTTAACCAAGGGCATTACTCGTGGAATTTTCACTATTTATCAACCACCAGCTGGATCATCATAACACAACAGTGTGCTCTAATGCAAGACCAGCCATATCATGCTAACCACACTGCACCGCTCTCTTACGCAGTGGCCTCAGCCTCCATGCCCTCAGCAGCGGGCGCCTCACTCTCCTCTGCTGGCCGCTCCAACTTGGTGCCCGTCTCCTCCCCGCTGTAATCGCCATGCACCTGAGTTGCCCGGGAGAAATGGCGGGCACAAGAACCAGGCAGATACACAAGCACAAGGAAATATCAGTCACGCTTGATGCTCGTCTCCTCCCCACCGTTCGCCTGCAGGAAACAGCAGAGACGTTGGCGCAAGCATTGATAGTCGCGAGACACAACTGCTTCACACACACCCCTCCACGGGCTCCCCTCTTTCAATCGACTCACATAGCCCTCTCCGCCCCTCCCAGTCTCAACCTGAACCCTCCATCTCCCTGGCTAACCATGTCGCACCCCCTCGCAGCTCTCACTCACTCCCCCTCTCACGAACGCCCACTTTCATAAGCTTGCCCCCCTCTCCCCCTCCTCGTCTCCCTCCATGAGCGTGTCTCCTCCCCTCACCCCCTACCCCCTGCCCCCACCTGCTCTCCATCACCCTTTCCCTCCATGAGCTTTCTCCCCCACCCCCCCCTCTCCTCTCCAAGGGAACCCCTCCCACCCACCCTCTCTTTCTCACCTCCGTCAGCACACTTGCGGCCGAACTAGGGCGCCATCAGGATTTTGACCTTGCAAATAAGCGTGTAATTGCCCAAGCAAGCCTTCATGAACTCCCCTCCTTCCCCCTCCTCCTCACTCCTTCCTCCTCTCCTCCCCTCCTTTCCCCCCTCTCCCCTCCATGGTCGTCCCCTCCTCCCCCCCTCCCCCTCACCTCCATGAGCTTGCCGAGGTCGAACTTGGGCGCCTTGAGGATTTTGACCTTGCGGATGAGCGTGTTCTGGAGGGGGTAGATGCCGAAGCACGCCTTTTCGATCTCCTTGCCGATGCTCTCGGGGATCAACTTCGCCACCAGCTCCTTGAGGTCGCACGACGACGCCTCCTTCACGATGATCTCGCGCATCTTCCTCCGAATCTGTCCGTAACGGGTACAGGAAAAGGGAGGGAGGTGACGGGTCGGGCGGTGGCGGGGGCCGGCGCAAGGGGGGAGGGAGGGTGGTGGTTTGGGAGGACGGTGAAAAGGGAGAAGAGGGGAGTGTTAGCTTCGCTACCAGGACCTTGAGGTGGCGTGACGACGGTTTTTCACGTAGCACACACACGCCGCCTTCACTGCAGTATCCCGCAATCTTCCTGCAACGAGTATCCGTGGTCAGATGGGGTGACGAGCTCTGCTAAAGCCGTAGCGTGGGGTCTACTCGATCGTGAGGTCTGCTCGGTCTGACCAGGAAGGGGGGTGAGTTGAGTGTGTTTGACTGTTGTGAGCAGTTGCGTCAACAACCGGCAACCATGGCAGGGCTGAGGCCGGTGTAAGGACAGCAGGGTGGCTGCTCAAAACCTGAAAACGATCGTAAGCAGCGTCAGTGACATGATGCCTAATAATGGATGTGAGTTGTGAGCAGCGTCAACAGCCGGCAGCCATGGCAGGGCTGCGGGCCGTCGAGTGGAGCTAGTCCGCGAGGGACCTCGTCGCTATGGGCGTCACGCGGCAGAACAAAGGCCATGGGATGCGGCCGAGCTCTGTTTGACTAGTGCGCCGGAAACGACTTGTGAGATAGACGAGCAAAACGACTCGCTGGGATAGACGAGCACGACTGCTTGCACGAGGCCTGGCTAGTCTGTCACTGCTGACCAATCACAAGAACCTTAGACCTCCACCACGTCCCGGTGGCCAACCGTAGCCCACCCGTAGCCCCACACCCGAGCCTAAAAAAACCTGATAAGCCACACGAGTCGTCGCCCTCGACCTCGTCCTAAAGGAGACAGATCGCTGAGTCAAGTGGTGCAGAATTTGATTCCGTCCATAAAGCTACTGCTGCGGGGACCACTCGCGCACACTCCGCAAGCACGACGACGGCCCAACTTTACGCTCCCAGCACGAATTCCCCGGCCGTCTCGTGAACCGCAGCGGCGACTGACCTGTCGGATTTGGCTGCTCTGCGCGTAGCTGGTCTTCTTGATCTGGTTCTGGCGGCGCTTCGTGAACGCGATGGCGAACAGGCGGAGCGTGTAGTTGTCGGTGGTCTTCACGTCCACGTGGCACTCGATCAGCGTCTGCCACTTGCGCACCAGCGACCGCAGCTTGTCAGTCGTCAGGTCCATGCCCTGTAACGGGGACAGAACGAGGAGGGGCAAGGGAGAAGCGTGATAAGAACGAGGGTTCTGATCGTAGATTGAATGAAAGACAGATTAGAGGTAGGTACTAACACCTGCAGGTAGGAGAGATGCGAGGGGGAAGGGAGGAGGGAACATGGAAGGTTTCGCACGAGGGACTGTTTCTGGTAGGGAGACTGGGAGAGGAGACGCGACGGCGCGAGTCGAGCGACAAGTCGGCGACGCGGTTTACACACGCGAGACCTGGTAGAGAGAAGGTCCGTGTACTGGTAGGGATCCATTCTATTTCCAAGGTGGGG